TCTCTCTCTCTCTCTCTCTCTCTCTAACGCGGAGCAAAATTGCTTCTGTCGCCGTGGGGCGAATATTATAAAGCGAATATAATCTTCGGATCTGCAACTCGTTTTTTTTATCGCGACATTCTGAGTCGCGGTATGGCGCGTTTGTTTGAACAAATTCCTGCGTTTTACTGCGCGGCGGCGGCCCTCCGGGTTCTTATAAAAGGAATTCGAGATAAATTAAAGGAGGGTAATAACGGGGGAGTAACTAATTACTCGCCGTCCGAAATACACGTTAGAGGAAAATTCCTCTCGCATTAATGCATTCTTCCGCGTTGTACATTGTATCGTCGCATTCGCCTCATATTTTACTACAAAGGAGATAATAACGAGATATTTTCCGGCTGATTATATATAGCCAAAAATACACTTTACATTAAAATTCCTCTCCCATTAACGGAGATCTCCCTGCATTAGATTTCAACATGTATAATATATATATATTATATACACTGTGAAAAAAAATTACTTAAAACAAATAAATATGTTTCAGGTACTCCTCAAAAAAATAATTTCTTGAAGCAAGTAAAATTTTTTTTTTTAAGTAATTTTTTTTCTCAGTGCAAACACTTTTACTTAAAATAAAAAAATTTTACTTGCTTCAAGAAAATTATTTCTTTGAGGGGTACCTGAAACATATTTATTTGTTTTAAGTAGAGATAATAAAGAATTAAATTTACATCTAACGTTTGGCCCATTTCTTAATTATAAGTATGTAAAGTTTCTGATGTTTATTTACAGTGCATTTCATCATTCATAACGAATAACCTGTTCGCGAGAAGTTTGGAGTTGCTAAATTCCGAGCAGAACTTAAGGATCGTCTTTAACGCGCTGGAGGGCAGTTACGCGCTTTGTTTGCTCGCTAATCTGATACAACTGGCGAACATCGAGAGGGAAGAAGTACTAAGAGAGCTCTGCTTTCCTTCCTTTACGGTAAGCGTGTCTGGTGATTTTATCTGTTACAGGCATATCGATAAAATCTTGTGTGAATTTTCTGTGGCAGTTCGTTGTGACGAGAATGCTGGAGGCATGTCAACAATACGTAGTCGCCAAACGGAGTAATTTGACGCATTGGCACCCAGTATTGGGCTGGTTTGCACAGACAATCGACACCTCGTTGCAGGACGCGACTCCTTCGGTGAAATTGCAGCTCGCCTGTCTTTGGACCGGCAGAATCGTCACGCATTTAATCGGTGAGGGTCATCGAGTTCACCTATCCCGATAAATCCTTACGAAGGATTGCAATTCGCACGCAAAAGTGCGATATCCAAATCGGCAGAAATCATTTTGCTCCCTGTCTAGTCTCCATTTTCTCTTCAGAGCAGCCACTAACCGAATTCGTCGAGAAGGAGGTACCACCTCCGGTAGAGCAGCAGAGTACCTCTTCCATAGGTGCCAATATTTTCCGACGAGCGTTTCTCGAGGCGCGCACCAATAGGAACAACAGCACCAAGAACTACAGGAAACTGGGTAGTCCGGAGGCTACCAAGATAGCTCTGATCTGTTCCCTGTATCAAACGGCGCTGCACACGCTCACGCAAATGAAGATCGAGATATTGACGGGTGCGTTTAATATAAAGATCAGCGTGCACCCAGGTAGCATCTTGAAAACGTTTCTGGGTGGTTAAAATGCCCATTCGAAAAACGTTTAAAGAAACGTTTCTTTTTGGTAAAAAAAAAAGAAACGTAGAGAAATATAATCGAAATATAATTTTTTCTCTATCTGTGAAAAAGTTTACTTGAAAAGAACGAATGCGTAAACTTTTTTACAGATAGAGAAAAAATTATATTTTTCGATTATATTTCTCTAAGTTTTTTTTTTTTTTACCAAAAAGAAACGTTTCTTTAAACGTTTTTCGAGTGGACATTTTAACCATTCAGAAACGTTTTCAAGAGTCGGTTATGAAACATTTCTGAAACGAATACGTGCTACCTGGGCGAGATGATATGCGAACGATATATGCGAACGATATATCGACTAATAGCGTGAACGTACAAAAACAGGATTGTGCTATCAAGGCAAAATTCTCTATCACATGTGGCTGTTTCTGACAACCCTGGGGCCGCACTGCGGTCTGAAAGCGTTTCTAGATCTCTTGGCGGCTAACACAAAGTGCACGGCACCTGAGTTCCAAATGTTGATACTGTTCGCCGATTGTATGACGCATTACGTTACGTAAGTGACGTAATTTTCTCTTTCAAACAGATTTAGTTAAATTCCGTCGTGATCGATTATGGACACGTTGATCCTTCGAATTTCCAATTTTCAGCATTTTGGACGACATGGAGATGTACGAGCACCAAGATCCCTTCAAGCTCACGGACTTCATCACGATGTCGTACTTTCTAAATCAATTCTTGTACAAAGCGGTTCTCACTAATTTATTCGGTAAGTCGATTTGCCGCGCTGGCGGTGATTTCTCGCTAACTTATAATATCAATGGAGTGAGGAGAAATAGTAAGAATTCTAGGATTACTACACCGAGATGCTAATATATGCTTTAAAATTACAGATGTGAAGTCGGTATCCAGCAATCCTCTATTTATCTCACTTTACATTCTTTTAATGGCCATCTATCGGCGCGACTGCCGCAGAACATTCTGCCCGGAGGGTCACTGGTTAGCCAAGTTAAGTATATCTTAATTTATCTTTAGTATTTTACAAATATCTCTCAAGCTCTATATCTGTAATATGAAGTAAAGAGATTGTATTGTATCTTTTAGTACTCGATCTATATTATATCTTATTATATCTTTTAATATCGTAATTCATAGCTGTTGTTTTTCTCAAAACAGGAAGTACGAGTATCTGGCTTCCTGGCCGACTTGGAGAAAGGACGACGCGGCGCAGCGCTTTTACTCTCAAAAATGCCTCACGTCATCCCCCATTCCGAGCGAGTCGTGTTATTTCGCAAGCACATAGCCGACGAGAAAGCAGTGATGGGTCTGACCGAGAGCGCTTGCAACAGCCCACCGACTACTCTCATCGTCGTGCACAGGTCTGTTTTTACTTCATTTTATGGTTTCTACAATTCCAAAACGGTTCCTTTAATCACCATTATAATCTTTTTTTTTTTATGTTCTAGAACGCGGATAGTTGAGGACGGATACAGACAATTGGCTATGTTGCCGTCACAAGCATTAAAAGGTGTGATCAGGGTACGTTTCGTGAACGAGCAAGGTCTAGCTGAAGCTGGCATCGATCAGGACGGGGTTTTCAAGGAGTTCTTGGAAGAGACGATAAAGCGAGTATTCGACCCATCCCTGAACTTGTTTAAAGCCACCAGCGAAAACCGGCTGTATCCGTCTCCCACATCTTTCATGCAGGACAATCACTTGCAACTATTCGAGTTCGTCGGACGGATGCTCGGCAAAGCGGTTTACGAGGTAAATTTTTTTTATCCGTGATTCAAATAAATTAAGAAATTAATAATATAGGACTCTCGATATTTAAAACTTAAATCCAAGCCAGGCTAATGAGAATCACGAGCGGTTCTTGGTGCCCAAATTTTATGTATTAGAACATTGTATATTTTTAATGTAATTTGATGTTTTAATACATAAAATTTGGGCACCAAGAACCGCTCGTAATTCTCATTAGCCTGCATTTAAGTTTTCAAGTAGATGAATTATAAATGCGTCAGCTTAAAAATTGTAAATAAAAGAATATGAAATAATGAAACAATATTTGGAAAATAATTAAAATATCTCTCTCGAGTCATTATAAGTGTGCGATCATTTTAATTATTCATATATTATTTATAAATATTATTTATCTTTGTCTATGTTGCGATTTTACCATATTTGAATTAGTGTAGTGAAAAAAGATATAGCCGTTGTTCACAAATAAAGTCGATTTTCTCCCAACAACTCTCGATCTCTTATCGCTTTCCAGGGCATCGTCGTGGACGTACCTTTCGCGTCATTCTTCGTCTCGCAATTTTCCGGGCAAACAGGCGGCGCGTTATACAGTTGGCTAGATGAGCTTGCTTCGCTGGACCGCGATCTCTACCGTAGCCTGACTTTAGTGAAGCACTACAAGGGCGATATTCGTCAGCTGGAGTTGACGTTCTCCCTCGACGAGGACGTGCTCGGCAAGCTGGTCACGCACGAGCTGATCACTGGCGGGCGCACCACCGCCGTGACCAATCAGAACAAGATTCAATACATCCACCATATGGCGCACTACAGAATGTATCATCAGATCAAGGAGCAAACGACCGCCTTCATCAAAGGGTTCCGCTCGATCATTAATCCTGAGTGGCTGTCGTTGTTCTCGACGCCCGAGGTGAGGATTCAAGAACGCTTATTTACATTTATTTGTCATGCAGCCTATGACTAAGATATCAAAATTAAACGATGCAGAATCATTAATTTGAATACGATAAATCGAACAATTACATATGATTAAATGTGTGACTTAATAGTTAAATTAATAAATTATTTCAATGATTTTTTGAAAACTGGAATCTAATTGTAAGCTCTATATTCTAAAGAAAATTTAACATGAAATAAATATCATAGTGCTATGATATTTCATTTCATTTCATGTTAAATTAGTATTTTTATGTATATTATTAATAATGTTATGATTTTTATTTTATTTCGTGCTAAATTAATTTCTCTATTAATATCTCTATGTATATTATTAATATAATTATATAATTATAAAATTGTGTATTGTTGCTTATATACTTGTATACATTCAATTAAGTAATCATGGAATATGATTAAATATCATAGTTCTATGAATAATATCTCTATGTATATTATAATGTAATTATATAATTATACAATGAATATATATATATATATATATACATACATATAATTACATAATTATATTGTTATTTATACACTTGTATACATTCGATTAAGTAATCGTGGAACGTGGCTTTGCAGTTACAGAGATTGATCTCGGGTGATAATGTACCTTTGGATCTGCGAGATTTACGAAAGCACACGCAATACTACGGCGGATTTCACGACAGTCATCGTGTGGTCTGCTGGCTGTGGGACATTCTGGAGAAGGATTTTACGGAAGAAGAAAGAGGCTTGTTCCTAAAGGTACCGATCGCAATACTTAATTAATAATTCTTTAATCGAATAATTTTTCTAAAGGTTTTCCCGAGATTTGTTGATGTCTCTAATATCAATCTTACACTAACAATGACATTTATGACAGTTCGTGACGAGTTGCTCGAAGTCACCGTTGCTGGGCTTTGCTCACCTGGAGCCACCTTTTTCCATACGATGCGTGGAAGTCTGCGACGACGAGGACACCGGCGACACTATTGGTACGTATAATAAAGTAATTTTGAAAAAAAAAAGACAAATTCTTTTTTTTTCATAACCAGCAATAAGCCAGAAACCACAGAAAGACTTTCAATATCTCTCATCGAATTCTTTGGTGAAATGTAACTCATTTGATCAATTTTTTTTTTTTGCGATTCAGGCAGCGTGATCAGAGGTTTCTTCACGATTCGCAAGAAGGATCCGCAAAACCGACTGCCCACTTCGTCAACGTGTTTCAATCTGCTCAAGCTGCCGAATTATCAGAAGAAGAGCACGCTGCGGGAGAAGCTGCGCTACGCCGTCACCAGCAATACCGGTTTCGAACTCTCCTAAGTGTTGCCGCGGTCGCGCATCTTTACCCTCCCTCACCCGCCGCCGGAACGGACGAGCGAAGGTTTGTGCGAATTTGTCGAAACATCGCGCGTGACAGTTTTCGCCAATTGGAACGAGATATGTGATTCGATCGGCGATCGGACATCGCCGTGAGATTTCGCGGAGAGGACGAAAAGTCGAATGACATCGATCGATACCTCAGATTCGACGCTGTCTACAGCGATGTGTCGAGTGATGCCTAAACCGCCCTTTATCCCCATCCAGTGTATAATCTCTACAGCCCGACGATTAAATGCGTCGCTATTTAAACGCCTGCTGATTTTTAGATAACGCGAACATTTTAGAGGTCGACACTTAGAGGCGGCTTTTTTTTTCTTGGAAAAACATTGCGACCTCAGTATTGTTCGGGGATTGATCGGTATCGAGAGGAAACATGAGAATGTACAACACAAGGGTATACAATAACGAGCCTGATGAACGGTTAGATAATTGTTAGATACATACATATACATATATATATATTTAATAAATTTCATCGTACGAGAGTTAAGTATATTAGGTGAAGCCTGTTTAACGAGTTCGTGTTTCTGCGGTCTTCGATATATTCATACAGGCACACACTACCGATGTGAAATACACCGTACCTCATGAGCTTAATACCGCTGAGATATAATTGTGCGCTTGCTAGTGGATAGAGTCGTTGATCAACATTTACATTAAGACCTCGGGGGTGGCGGACATTCGAAATTTATTTTCATAGATAACGTTGAAGAGATAACATTTGTTATAGATTACTCCGCTGGTGAACATCCGACCATTTCAGAAATTGAATCAATAAGCAAGGAAAAGCCATAGTCGTGAAAAAAATTACGTCTTACAAAGTTATAAATTATTAAATTATGAATAATCAGAATAATTCATTATTTTCTGAATTATTCCTTCGTCGAATTATTGCTTAAGTATAATTTAGCAGATCCTTTATGAATTTGTATTTGCACGAAAAAATTTTCTTTTTAATTACATTTATCATTTTATCTATGATGAATCTTAGGAATGTACAAAAGTATTCAAAATAAGAAAGATATTTATATATACATGTAAGCATATAGGTTTTAGAATCATTGCATTTCTGTCGTGAATACAATCTTACAAAAATTTCCAAGAAAGGCTGCGGTCTATACGGTTTATTGATTCAATTGAACATTTGCATCTTCGGAACAGGTTCGCCACTCCCGCATTAACAAGAGGACATCCTCGGAGCTGGGGGGATGCCTTGTCGAACGAATCAGCGCGCGTGCGAAATAAGTCTCCGTGAGCAATCAAAAAGACGACTTGCGAGTTTCTAAAAGTTTTCCTCGATATCAAGAGAAAAAGAAATGTCAACCCGGGGAGGAGGCCGCGATCTATTTTAAAAGCTATTTTCTCAAGGTTTTTGTATGGACTATCGGCGCGACGGTGCCGTCTAATCGATTTAATACGATCCAAAAGTACAATTCTCACGGGTGCTCGCGAATAAGAAGTCCTCTGCAGGGTTCGTTCCGAAGGAAACTGTGACAAAAAGTCTCGTCGTATATTTCATGCGAATACGAGGGATTGAGAGGTTCTTCGAGCATCCGCAATCAGAAGCTGAGAGACAAGACGTTCTCGAGGAAGAGAAAAACAAAAAGAATATTTTTTTAATTTTGGAACAATACACATATTTTCTGTCTATTTATCACTATAGAAAAACTTTATCGTCGCGACAAGTAAATGAGAAAAGGTTTGGTGAAAAAAAAAACTTAACCGCGAGCGGACACACAAACTTGACAAATAAAATTTATAATGCTCTATAATTTATACATTAACGATCTAATTTTATTTTTTATCATTTTTATAGACGTTTGTTGTCGCAATTGTTAGCTCGACAGACACAGCTCTAACGATTAGCCCCAAAAAAATGCTTAAACAAAAAAATCTTGTCTTGTTTTAACTCAAATTTATATAATATAAAGTGCATAACGCGAGATTTTTTTCAATCGTTACGACGATGAACTCGACGAGGGTTTCGTCCGCAAAAATTCGCCAAAACGCAAATTAGACGCGTGCGGAGGATACACGCGTGTGTTTATGACAAATACGAAGAAAAAAGAAAGAGGGCACGAAAGGCGCTCGCGGTATTCCGCGCAAGAGGCGAAGTCTCCCGTGCATGATGTAATATCGTTACTGCTCTTGCCTTTCAGGAAACGCGCGTTTCTTCTGTAGTGCGGCAATGCGGGTGGCATTGACGATGAGGGAATTCGACGACAGACCAAAGATAAGGGCGAACGATTCGTGAGATGTTATAATCTTTGCATATTTTCCTACGTGATTATAGGCCGTTCGTTGCAAGCGTCCTGTAAGCCTGCGTTCACGCAATCGCTTTGGCGAAACTCGATTAATGTCTATTTCTACCAATGTGGATTAATTTTAATCTCGGTTTAATTCACTGTTTATCTTTTTATAATTTTTAGAACTGGAAAAAGATACAAAATAAGTTAAACCGAGAATTAAAGTTAATCTACATTGGTAGAAATGAAGTTAAGCATGCTTAAAAATCAAGAGACACTGGACATTTTGTGCAGCTCAGTGGCGGATACAAGGGGAAGGGGAAGAGGGGGGGCAGAGGGGGCGATAGCCCTCTTCTCCCTCAGAGCTCTCCAAACAAATTTCGTATATTGGAAAAAGTCGACGGTCTTAAATGAATTGAGAAAAAAAATTATCAGAAAGATTATTCGAGACTTTTTTTTTAAATAATAAAAAATATTAAAAATATCATTAACGACAATAATAATTAAATATTCACATTTCGTCATACTGCCCCCCTCTTCCCTCCAGGATAACTTTCTGCATCCGCCACTGTGGTACAGTTTTATCTTTAATGACGATCGCGCGAGTGGATTTTCGATTCAACGCGAAAGCTCTCCTCTTGTGATATAGGCTGCGTTCGGTTTGGTGCTTACAGCGCTTAATCTTTGACTATATAAGTATGGACTGATAGTGATTAACTTCATACGTGTCGCTAAGCTGGAAGATGTAGGCTCCACTCCAGTCAGTAATTTTTCTGCGGGGAGGGGAAAGGCTCCTTTGTGAAATCAACGTGTTTACGACGTGTAAAGGAAATTTATAGGTGCTGAGTCTGTTTTTAATTTCTTTCCGTCGATTTGAGATTTTTTCCGGCTCCCTATCAATTTTCAACATAACATTTAATACATTTTGACATATTTGACATTTTTTTTTACTGACTGGGATGAGCCTTAAAATCGAAGTTCGATATCTCAACCAACTTCAGCTCGGCGACACCGGGCATATGTTTTTTACATAATATATAAAAGTGGTGGAGGAGGATCACTAGCAGTCCATATTTATATAAAGCATCATTCGTCCTTGTTTAACATTTGATAAACAACATGAATCAAATGATGTGAGCGCTGCAAGCGCCGAAGCGAACGCAGCCATATAATAATATGCGTAATATAATATCATTGATTTTTTTTTTTCAAAATCGAGCAACAGAACTGTAAACTCGACAATCAGCTTGATTGTCTGTCAATATTCACATTGGTTTCGGCAGAGTTTAATTAATTCCTAATTTATGTGATATATGTGTATTTACATCGACGCATCAGCATTACATTTGTATAATATGTCACCGCAGTTATTGTATTTGGCTCCATTAGAAGGGGGATATTGCGTGAGCGCGGGATTACGCGTATGTATATGTACATTTATTAAAGTGGAGCAGCGAATACTCCGCGGTTCATATGGGTATGTACTCGTCGTGAAGAACGATAAAGGACGGCTATCAGCGTAAGTGTGTATAGACTTTTAAGATTGGCGCGTGTCGAACGGGAAGCTCGGGGCGATTGTGAGACTTCAATTGTTCACCGCGTTCAACCGAAATCGTGCATTTACGAAGTATCTAAGTTGGTTTTGTCGAGCAAGTCCCAGTCAAAAGTTAGTCCCTCCGTATGACTAATAATTCAATAAAAATATTTCGCATAGACTGTACATATGCGATTGCGTGACGTTTATGTGACAACGTCATACTATCGAGTTGGCGTTGAGCGATAAAACCACCTTAAAATAATTAACGAGACCGTGAATTCTCGTCGTCATGAAAAAAAAAAGCAAGACAGAAAAAGGAAAGAACGGAGAGGGAAATAGATGGAAATGTAGAGCAACGTGCTGTAACGCGCGCGAGTTTCTCCTACAATTGCAAAGCGAACGAAGACGACGCATAATTGTGCTGTAAATCGCTCGCTTCGATTATGCAACGGCCGCCCCGCTCTCGCCCCGTTCGTTCGTAATCGATGGTTTTAAATTATTATAATATTCTGTGTATGAGGAGAGGAGATTTCTGTATAAGGACGGGAGAGATCCGCTAATTTCGTACGGTGAGGATTGGCGTATACAATCGTGTAAATATATACACACACACGTCGCAAAAAAAAAAAGGTGTTGCGTTAATGTCATGTGCATTCGCTTTCCTCCATTACGTAACCGATCCCTTCCTGCGAACGTGGAAAAAGACATAAGGAAAGATGAAACCCGTGTGCCGTTCCCGTTGCCAAAAATAGGAACGAAAGTTCAGGTAAGAATTCTCGGAAGTAATGTATGTACTTTGAAAGCGACCAGTTACCGGCTGATGTTCTAACGAAGGATTTACTGTTCGGAGATTTCTTATTGTAGACCTCGTTCAGTCTTCCCGCGTGAAGACGAATTATAAAAGAAGGAAAACTACGAAACTTTATACAGTTCAGCGATACGGTTTAAACGATCGCACACTGCAAATTTAAATTGATATATGATATATGATGCACATTGTACATACGTGGAAAGGGAAAAATTTATCCGCGAAATTTCGTTAATTTTGTTACGAAAAGTCAGGGAGGAAGTCTGATTTCTTACACCTTTAATAAAATCGCTGAAAAGATTTCGTCATTTTTTGTCCATTACTTATTTCTAAAAACGTATAAACGCGGGGAGATAGATGGAGTGAGAGAGAGGGAAAGAGGGAAAGTTAAAACGGCGCGCGCGCACGCGCGGTAAGCGCGCCGTGCCGCGTCACGTGACCGCCTTTGTGCCCGGCGCTGCGGGTCGAGGTGGCGCAGGGCATCAGTGGCGACAGCGGCCGCCAGCAGTGGCCAGCAAGCTTCGACTGCGGGCAGACGTGTGTATCGTCGGCGGAGCGCGGCTCGATCTCCCGTCGCGGCTACGCGAGAGACTCTCTCCTTTTTTCCCCCCTTCCCCCCTGTCTGCTCCGCTGTGCGCGCGTGTGTCTCTCTTTCTCTCTCTTTCTCTCTCCCCATCCTCTCTCTCTCTCTTTCTCTTTTGTCCATCTGTCGCTACTCTTGTCACCCCCGTCTCCGCGGCGTGGTGTTGTCGCGCGTGGTGTCGTCGTCGGCTCGGTCGGGAGAGAAAACGCGTTTGTTTCTCCCCCTGCTCGCGTGTGTGGCTCCCCGGTTTGGTGCTTGGTGCTGCGCTTCTGGTCGCCGCGTGTGCTCCGAAGGAGAGAGAGAGAGAGGTTCTGCTCCGAGAGAGAGGAGGCGGTATAGTAAAAACAACCCACGCAGAGTGGGCAAAGTGGTAGTGACGACGGCGGCGGCGGTGGCGACGACGACGACGACGGCGGCTGCTGCTGCTGCTGTTGCTGCTGCTCTCGCGGGGGAGAGGGCCCGTGCGTGCGTGCGTACGTGCGTGCATACGTGCGGGAGTGCGTGCGTGCGTACGTGCGTACGTACGCGCACCGAGGAAACATCGTACGTCGCGTGCGGTCGTCACGCGCACAGCACGGCGGTGGACTTGACGGCGGCCGACCGTGGTCGCGGTGGTCGTGGCAGTCGTGCCGGAGCCGTGCGACCGCGGCTACCTCGTGTCGCGTTCCCACATCGTCGTCGCGTGTCTCCCAGGAGCGAGCGTCGCCTCCCGCGCCTCCACCGCGTCGTCTCCCTTTCTCCCTGGGAGAACTGTGACACTCCGCGGAAAGCAACCCCGACGATGACAACGATGTCGCTATGAGGCTCGTCGCCGAGAGCGATTGACGGACGCGGCGCGGCGCGGAGAAGCGAGAGTGCGGTGCGGACCGTGCGATACGAATACGACGAGTACAGATCAGTGCGACGCGCCGTGTCGCGTGTGTGTGTGTGTCTGTGTGTGTGCGTGCGTGCGCACACGGTTGTCAGTTACGTGCGTGGCGAAATGTGCGTGCGTACGTGAATGGATGCGTGCGCTCAAACATAACCTAACCTGAGCGTCGCCAAGCGCGCTAAGTGCCGTTCGCTGTCACTCTATCTATCCACGATATCGCGTGTGCGACGGAAGGCGTGTGTATATGTATATATATTGATACATATGCGGATGCATATGTGTGTCATCGAGATCGCGGAGACGGGCTCCTCGAGATCGGGAATCGAACAGGCACGGCAATAGTAGTAAAACGGTGTGCCCGGTGCAGTGCGGAAGACGACGACGACGACGACGTCCAGGAGCCAGGAGGATACGTCGGCGCGAGTATCCGCGTTACCATCCCCCCCGCGTGAGTGCAGGGATCCGCGCGAGAGGGTATAACTCGAGAGACCCTGGGCAGCCGCAGCCGAAGATCATCGGCGAGAGGACAGGATATAGACGGCGTGATAATCCCGTCAACGCGATCGCGAGAGGAGAGGGAGCGCTATGCCCGTCGCGTGAGACTCCGATCCACCCGATCGACTCGCCCGCCGATCGCATCACGCGGCTCAAACCGATAACGGTGGCTCGCTGCTTCGTCGTGGAGCCGCGGGGGCACGGCCCGTGAAGTGGGGGCGGACGGGCCAGCAAGTGCTTTGATGGCAGTGGTTGGGCCCAGCCGGCACTCGCGGGTGTCCATGAGCGTGTCCATACCGCTGATGCAGGGCGGCGGGGCGGGGGCGACCGGCGCCGGCGGCGGGGGCGCCGGCGCCGCCGCTGCCGCCGCC